GTATTTTCATACTTATGTAACTGCCTCAAAGCCATATAATAACGTATGACTTTACATTCCGCACTTTAATTTTCCTGCTATATTTTATACTGCTAGTAACTAGGGTTTGTATGACAAGACTACTAATTGAACCTAGAAAACCTTAAAACCTAGAAAACCTTAATTTTCAAGATAACATAACTTAAAGCAATATACTATTCACACTTGAACCTCTAGGGCATCCTCTCTTGTTTCCTTACGATTAATGGTCATGTCCCTCGAGAGTGGGGATGCTTTAGCAAAAGACCCTTACGAATAAAGATCATAGTCCCTCGATGATCCTTCAAAGTTGCCTACGAAAATGATCTAGTCCCTCTGATACAAATTGCTAAAGTATTCCTACATGTTGCCTTCAATGACTATTCGATGACCCTATGCATGTCCCTTCACATCCCATAGATAGGACTACCTACCAACTAATGGTATCGATAACACTGTCTTTAAAGGAGAATGAAAATAATAAGAACAACCTTTAGTGGGTAAGGAACTCTTAATCGTTTGCTCATAACTCTTTTCTGAAATAAACATTTTTTTCACATCACACTTTTTAAACATAATATTTTCAAACACTTTGTACGCGTTCTTGAAGACTGATACAAGAACCATTACAAAGTTAGCCTTTTCAAATCACACACGCAAAGCAAATTTTCAAAAGTGAGCTGGCAATTAAGAGCTAGTAGATAACTATAGATGAAAAGGGTGCTAACACCTTCCCTTTTCATAACCTACCCCCCGAACTCAAAATCTATCAAAGGTCTTTCCTGTTCTTTTCACCTTTCCTAAATATTGGATAAAAGAAAAGTCGGTGGCATCTCTTGCTATCCGCACATTTGGATAAAACTGAAAAAGTCAGTTCTCCCACCGTATTACAATCACATATTTAATATTCTAAATTATAAAAAATATATAATAATGTACATGATAAAGTAAACGGGGTAGGTTCAGGGTAGGTACTAGTGTTCCCATTACCCGACCCTTCCCCATATATTTTAATCAGGGAAAACTCAAACCCAGTCAAATTGCGTTTCCCTGTCAACTTCTGGGCGAGTTTGGATGGGTACCCGCGGGTATGGTTTTTTTTTGCCATGCCTACCTATGGTGAAGATAGTAAAGACGCAATAATCAAAGGGTATGTCAAATATGATTATGCAGGTTGTATATATTATAGGAAATCTATTTTTGGATATGTGTTCATTGTGTTTAACATAGAGCTGTCAAAATGGGTCCGACCCATAAGCCCTTTAATTTATCGCGGGCCAGACTGTAAAATAACTTAAAAAAACACGACCCTATCATTTTGGCCCAGCCCATCGGGCCTATGTTTTTCATGGGCTGGGCTGGTCCAGACCAAGCAGGCTTCAAGCTGGCCCATTAAAAAAATATTTTGGTAAATTTTGGGGAAAAAAGATTGAGATAAGATATGATTGCATATAGTGTGTTTTCAAGTGATAAAAAAAAGTTAAAGAGGATGAAGATATATTTTTAAGATGATGTGATGAAGGAAATGGTTGTAAGATGAAGAGAAAATTTGATAAGTATTGGTGATAATATTAAGTTACTATGTATTTTTACATGGATATTATGTGATATTCATATATATATATATATATATATATATATATATATATATATATATATATATATATATATATATATATATATATATATATATATATATATATATATATATATATATATATATATATATATATATATATATATATATATATATATATATATATATATATATATATATATATATATATATATATATATATATATATATATATATATATATATATATATATATATATATATATATATATATATATATATAGATGTTGATTTGGTGAATATTTTAAACATTACTTAACTAAGTTTATGATGACTCTCTACTTATCTTATGTAGCTTTTATCCATTACATATTTTTTTTATAAAATGAAAACTATAATATTGAAATACAGGCCGGGCTGGTCCTTCGAGCTTCACGGGCCCGTTGAATAACGGGCCTGGCTCATTTTTTATAACCCATTAAGCAATCGGGTCGGGCCGAGCTAGCCCATTTAAACACTTTGGTCCACCGGGCCGAAGCGGGTTGGGTCGGGCCGACCCATTTGACAACTCTAGTTTGACACAACAATTAGTTGGAAAGCGACACTTCATAAGGTTGTTTCCTTATCAACCACTGAAGTGGAATATATCACCCTCACTGAAGTTGTGAAAGAAGCATCGTGGCTTGAAGGTTTTTCTAAGGAGCTGAAACTTCAAGGTCGAATTATCACTATTAATTGTGATAGTCAAAGTGATATACACATGTCGAAGAATTCAACCTATCATGAGTCAACCAAACACATTGATGTGAGGCTGCATTTTGTCAGAGGGATAATTGAGCATGGAGAAGTCCAAGTGCTGAAGGTTTCGACTGATCATAATATTACTGATATGATCACCAAGACATTGCCAAGTTACAAGTTTTACCACAATACGTAGTTGATAAAACTGCATGAAGAAAGCTACTTGTTCCCTTAATAGTATAGAGTATGTTCCAAGGTGGAGATTTATGAGATATTGGATCAAACTCTAGTATGGTCAAAGGGTATATTATGCGAGTGCAACTTCATCATTAGATGTTTTGTATGATGTTAAAACTAGGAAAACTTAGCATTTCTGTATATTAGACGATATCTCTATGTCATGTGACACTCCCTTGCATTATAGGTCTTATGAATCATTAAAAAACCACTTTGAAAATAAATTTTCCAAACAACATTGTTATATCAAAAGTATTCAAATCCCACGACTCTTTTTTGGGTGTTACTTTTTGTTGCCATTCTCTGCATACAAACCTCAAAACTTTGTAGCTTGATTATAAATGCTTTTCCCTAAATTTTATAGTTTGTTTATTATATGAGAAAACCTCATCTTCATAGAGGCCACAATTTACCAAGTTTCATGCAGAAGAGTTCTTATTTTTCCATTAAGGTATTGATCTTAGATTGTTTGACGTATTCAGTTCCCTCACGAAGAACTTGAAGAACGTCCCACATAGTCTTAATGATATTATAATGTGATATTGAAAATATACATATACACTCAATAAAGAGATGAATATATTTATTGCTTTCAAATCAAAATACACCTTTTATAATCTCACCTTCATTCCAGTACTTTGGTGGTTTATTAACGAATACACCATCAACGATCTTTTAAGGGACAAAAGGTCCTTCTTTGATGGCTACCCATAATTGTAAATTCACATACATAAGGTGTAAGTACATGCAATCCTTCCAATGTGCATAATTTTCAGTTGTGAAAATTGAGGCTATATTGTACGTTTCATTTGGGTCAATTTGCACCATATTCAATAACTTTTGAGATTGTTAAACCTTATCTAAAGGACCGACTATGGATGCCAATTGTTACTTTAAATAGGCAACTAAACATTATTTTCTCTCATTTTAGAAAAAAATAAATTAACGCGTGGTAGTGATTTTGGTGAAAACTTAAACCTTAAAGATTTTAGCAATTGAAAGATGACTGTAGTATGCGCACTGCGCACACACATGAGATATATAATAAGGTGATCGATAAAATGATAGATAATCCTTACTGATTCAAACATGATATTTGATACACCCAACAATTAATCAATTTAAACCAATCTCCAATGGTTCTTTTATAAAATATTCTATGATGAGATTATTTAAAAAATTAATTCCAATTAATGATACACTTTTATAATTTAATTCGATAAACTCAATATACCTAAGAAGCATGCAAATATATATTACACAATAATTCTAATAGCTAACACAATTATGCAAAAAAATATAAAGGAGGGAGAAAGAGAATAAGAGAACGCATCAGAATTTATATTGGTTCAGTGTTATCGTCCTTGCAAGTACCCAACACAGTCTTCAATGGTAAGCCATCAAAAATTTGTTCTTCCACTATATTATTTGATTTAGGTTTTGGTTACAACAATTCAATGAAACATAAGATAAAGTTAATAATCTAATATATCTTCTTCCTAGCTTCTTTATTGGCCTTGTCTACAACAAGCTCTTCAGTTGTTAAGATCTTCACTCGACCACCATCTCTAACCTTTGACAGACTTAAACCTTGAATGCTCGCCGATTTTCACTCAATCACGAGCTTTAAACCTTGAGGAAAGTACAATGATATTAATGACCATGCTCACGTGTGTGACGGCAAAAGGATTTATATGCTAATTGTATAAAATTAATGACCGATCTTCCAAACTCTAGAGGTTGGGATATTACTAGCCAATACTATAAGCCGAATCAAGATAAAAAGTGATATTTCCTCAATTTCTTAAAGAGTTTGCATGAGTAGGGATAACACTTTTCCTCCTTAATTAGGGGAAAGATTTCCTCAACAACGTTGACCAAAATTGCCTCTTTCAAGAACGCTTCACCGATCACATACTAAGGTAATTGACTTAATATAGACATAGGCCAAAGCAAATGACATATACTCCAATTGAATAACCGTAGTCCACTTTATCATACATGTCCATTCCGACTTATAACCTTTTCATAACACATTTTAATTTATTAAGTTATGAGTGACTCTCTTTTGAGGTCCAAACCAAAACTTTCCTATCCAAAACTAAATTGAAAAGAGTGTCATAGTTTAATGCACACTTAATTTTACAATGATAAAAATTAATTTTGACTAAAATTGAGTTGAAATAAAATAATTTAATATAAATATATTTATGTAAAAATGAGATGAATATAAATAAATAAATTCAAGTGATCTGAACCATTCGATAAAACCCTAAAGTAATCTGACCCGTTGGATTGATTATCCCCTATCCTAATATAAATTGAATCTTTCATCTTCGACACACTCTACTCTCTGCTCCAAATCTAGGGTTTGCTGTTTCCAGATCTCGCGCCACCGTCTTCCCCAACTACAGACCAATTCTGCAAACATGGCGACCCAGATGAGCAAGAAGAGAAAGGTAAATTTAACGATATTAATTTTATCCATTATTGTAAAGATTCATGGGTTTTGTGTTTTGTGTGTTGTAGTTTGTTGCCGATGGTGTTTTCTTTGCTGAATTGAACGAGGTTCTCACCCGTGAACTCGCTGAAGACGGTTACTCTGGTGTCGAGGTTAGGGTTACGCCGATGAGGACTGAAATCATCATCAGGGCTACTCGCACCCAAGCTGTTCTCGGTGTGTTTCGCATTGATGTTTGGAAATTTGATTGCTTTTGTGGAATTTGATTTGAATTGGATTTTCTTGTTTTTTATTTGTTGTTGGGATTTGTAGGTGAGAAGGGAAGGAGGATTAGAGAGCTTACCTCTGTGGTTCAGAAGAGGTTTAAATTTCCAGAGAACAGTGTTGAGCTTTATGCTGAAAAGGTTAACAATAGAGGACTATGTGCTATCGCTCAAGCTGAATCGCTTCGTTACAAGCTTCTTGGTGGACTTGCTGTTCGTAGGTATATTTTTTAGGATTATATACATGGATCTTATAATGTAGTGTTTCATGTTGCACCATACTAATTTTTTTATTTTGCTGCTCACTTTTTACACTTGTATTCATACTGATGCTTAACATATACTATTTGCTATTATGATTTACATGCGGAAGGGGATTTTATTTCATTACAGAATGGTCTATGAATGAATGCCTTGTAATTTGTGATAAGCAGATTTTTTGCTTGCTTTTTCCTTCCCCTGTATATAAGCACACCCTTCCTGTATATAAGCATGCCCCTGATCCCTCCTACTCGATATCTAACATATTATCCAACAAACATTTGTCACTTATTTTGTCATGGAATTGTTTGATCTATGTAGCCTATCCATCTTTTAATTGGTTAAGGCTTGGTTGTTTTTTATTAGCTTTAATTTTTATAGTATTTGTTAATGTCATGCTGTTCATTTGGATTCTGGAAGGGTGGTTGATTTGATTTAGTTATTGATTGATTGACTGAACTAGTTACAGATTTATATCCCTTGCGGTGTCGTAAACTTTGTGCATTGTCTGACTATCCGTGTTTTAGAAAGAAAATGCTGTGGTTAGGCATCATAACATTGTCTCCTTGCTGTAACATGTGCTTCTGGTTTAATCTGTGCTCTAAGTTCTGGCATGCCAGATTTTTCCATTTTACTTGTCTAGGTTTAAGTGCTGCAATTTTTTAGAAAACATTCCCATTTTATTTCTTGGGATACAATTCTGTGTTTGCGCGACTGTATGAACTGTTTCTCAAACTGTTTGTTGCATTGCAGGGCATGCTATGGTGTTTTGAGATTTGTTATGGAAAGTGGTGCTAAGGGATGTGAGGTTTGTTCTGCTTAACGGCTCAAATCAATTTATTATATTGCTTTTGTACGAATTTGATTGTAATTGCTGTTTTGATTTAATTAGGTCATTGTCAGTGGAAAATTGAGGGCTCAAAGAGCTAAATCCATGAAGTTCAAGGATGGATACATGATTTCCTCTGGTCAACCTGTCAAAGATTACATTGATTCTGCAGTTAGACACGTGCTCCTCAGACAGGTTTGCTTATGCTCTTCATAGTACTTGCTAAGCTTAAGTTTTCCCTGCTGTTCTCTAGTTGTTTGTGCATTTTGCTAGTCATTGACTGATATCGGGAACAATTTTTTCTGTTGTATTGTAGGGTGTTCTTGGAATCAAAGTCAAGATTATGCTTGATTGGGATCCTAAAGGGAAACAGGGTCCTAAAACCCCTCTCCCTGATATTGTCACTATCCACACTCCAAAGGAGGAGGAGGAATACAGACCAGCTCCTGCCGCCGTTTTGCCCACTGCCGATATTGAGGTGCCAGTTGCTTAAAGATGTTTTTGATGTTTTTTGGAGTATAATTTGCAGTAGAAGAGGTTTTATGCAATGTTTATTTTGAAACACTTCCAAATTTTGTAGTTTTTTTTGACATTTTAAGAGAGTTGTAATACACGGTTACAAGTGTTTAAGCATCAATTATTACAATTTATTTTCAAATTTAATTCACTCAATAGCACTAAAACTATGCAATTATCTATTGAATAGTCCAAATGTGATCTCTATTTGGAATATCTATTTAGTAAATATTATCGACAATCATTTCATAAAGCCTTTTTTGTTTTTATAAACAGATTTCAATTTAACTATCTTCCATTTTTTATTTTTTTATTGAATGTTGTCATGTTATTTACTTCCCTCGTTAAAAATAGAAGAACCCTGCTATCTTTTATTTTTTTTGTATCTCTTAAAATGGTTCAAATATGATCTCTATCTGGAATATCTTTAGTAAATATTCTTGACAATCATTTAAAAACTGTTATCGTTAGTAATAAATAGGGTGCTGCTAATTTTTTTCTTCCAAATAATCAAGTTTCTCCATGAACTCTTTAATTCTCAAAGGATCCATTACTAGCATTTGAAAAAAATTTATCCATTAATTTTTCTTCCAATTGAATCGACGGTTGTGTATAAGTAAATCACAAACAAGAGTATCGAGTTTAATAAACTTTTTAATAAATTTGACTCTTTTCAAGTTCATAAAATTGGATTAATTTAATTGGAGAAAGACGGAAACAACAATTTTTGTGTGGAGGCAAACAACAATTTTAATCTCCTAATAGAGATCAAATTTATATGATTATATGAATCACATGATTTGAATTATTGAGGACAAATTAATTTATGAGAACTAGTCGGTGCAATGATTCACGAAAAATTACAATAAAAAAAAGAAGAGTTTGACATTACAAATAATTAGGGATAGTTCTCTAAGAATTTCGTGCATTTTTTCTTCATTGCTTTAAAATATGCTTCTTTTTTTTTATCATTGGACTCTTATATCTAAATGAATTTTGCATTATATAGAAAATTTAAAACGGAAAAATGGTGCTGCTCTAGTCCTAGATCAAGTCACAATATTGCGATTAGTACAATTTGCACCTCTTTATCTTCCATTTTTTTGTGTTAGTCCTCATTTTTCTGTCATCATAACTTATACACTACAAATAATGAAGAATTTGTTTGGATTTATTTTTGTCACGCTTCTTTGAAATCTTGATTAAAACATATAGACACATGAACGAATTAAAAGTAAAAACTGCTATAAAAGAAAGGAAATGAATATTAAAAACATGATATGATGAATAATCATCAGCCAGTCCAAAGAAAGTAAAAATTTCGAGAGCAACATTCATAATCTTACAAACCTTAAGTTTAAGGTGTGGCTAAAACTCTTCATCCAACACTTGTTTTTAAGAATGTAGAGGGCAGGTAGAACACATTGTATTAGTGGAAAAGATGATAAGAAATTAAGGAAGAAAAATCAAATAAGAAAAACATCTTTCCACATCGACGTTAGATTTCATAAAACCAATGCTGATTTTTTCAAAAGATGGGTGGTGGTGACTGATGATAGTCTGACACACAATATTTTTAGTAGTCAATTTTGGTATTTTTAAGTATTTTTATTGTTAATGCATTTTTTGTTTTGTAAGTTTTTAATATAGATCTTGAAGATTTGTAGAAAAGACCACACCAAGGCAAAATCATGCTAATCAGATAAATTTTATAATATTTTTGTATGAAAGTTATGATGATGAAATAAGGAGGGGACTAGCACACGAAAAACTAAAGAAAATCGGAGAAAATTTACAAAAAATATATAATATCGACGCACCTTCAAGCATAACAACACTATCATCTTTAAAAGAATTAAAGTGACGCATTTACAAGACTAATATCGCAATCTTACAAAACAAAATAAACATTCAATTGCTGAGCGATTAAGTATAGCTGCTACACTATCTTGGGATTTCAATTTTTTTCTATTGATTAAAAAATGTGTTTAGTCATTAAGGTTCCAAATTTTAGAGAGTCTAAGGCACATTTATATACCAAAGAGAGCGAAAAATGAAAGCTATCATTATGGAATTATTCCTAATCCTTGTAAGTCTTTATTTTTGTATTTCTATTGTTAAAGCTATGAATCTCTTAAAGATGATTGACCATTTCTCTTAAATTATGTTTACTTTAGATGATTATACCCTAAACATGTAATATATTAATTATTTATAATTGTTTCTATAATGAATATTTGTCTTATAATCATACAAATTTATTTAAGTTTAATGGTTTCCTCCGTCTAAGAAATCAGGAGAATTGATTTACCTGGAAACTAAGACCTAACCAAAATATCTGTACATCCAATAGATAAATTTATGGGGTTGTAATGATTGTTTGAGTTGTGATAGAAATAGCCTCAATCATTATTCTAATTTTAAGAGCTACAAAACCTTCATCAGTTGTAATTAGAGATTCCCAGTATTTGGGAGATAGCTTCTTCAGCAAAGACACTTGTGCAAATAATTTCCAACATTTATTTTTCTTCTCTCTATATAAGGAGTTGAAGACTCAATAGAAGTAACAACAAGAACAACAAGAAAAGCAACACACAACACATCTGAACCAGAACCTTCACATTCTCTAAGTCATTGTATATAGTTGTTGTATTGCACATAGACTTGAGAGTTTCTTACACTTGTATATCTTAGAAATTTCAAGAAAGGTATTTGCGTGTGTTGGTTTAATTGTGCCTCTCATTGTATATCAAGTACATATTGTTGTTAATTCTAAATAGATTGTTCAGTATTTGTAAAAGTCTTAACTGTGTTTGAGCAAGAAAGTTTTGAACAATTGGTTTAAGCAAAAAGTCTCTTTGAAGTTTGATTGAGCAAGAAGTCCTGGACTGTGAGTTTGGACAAGGAAGTATCTTTCAAGTATGATTGAGAAAGAACTACTGGATTATGAGTTTGGACAAGGAAGTCTCTTTCAGATGTGATTGATCAAGGAAGTCCTGAACAATTGGTTTAGGAAAGAAGTCTTCTCTCGGTGTGATTGAGCAGGAAGTCTTGGACGGGTGTGTCTAGGAATATTGTAATTTGGTGCTGATTATAGTAAAAAAGTTATTGCATGGCAAGAGGACTGGAACAGTCCCGTTATAGAGGAACCATGATAACTATTATGTGTGATTTACTTATTGCTTCTGCACTTTAAATATTCTACTGCTGCATACTCTAGCTTAAAATCTGAACCTGGTCTGATTCAGAAGTTGATTTTTTAAAAAGTCATAAATTATCTGATATACAATTCAACCCTGCTTCTTATGTATTTTCTCACCTTTAGTTGGCATCAGAGCAAGGTCCGTGCTTAACACTTAACAGTGGTACAAAAAAAGACCCTGAAGAGAAAACCATACTAAATGAGAGATACTAGTGATAGTCATGTTATTGGCACTATTATTTCACATGATTATAGTGCTCATGAAAAGGGTCACTATTGTGCTAAACACATGCATTCAATGGTGACTTTACTCACTTTGAATGGTGGAAGAGCAAAATATGCACTTACATCATTGACCTTGATGATGAGTTATGAGACATCCTTTAGGATGACATTGAAATTGAAGTAAATGGTGTGAGAATGGTTGTTGATAGAAAAGTTCTCACACAAGCTCAAAAGAAAGTGTACAGGAAACACCACAGAGTAAGAGATATTATTGTTGATGCTCTACCTCACTCCGAGTACATAAAAATCATAGATAAGTCAACTATAAACACTATATCTTTGATTCATTATGTGCCACCTATGAAGGTAACCAACAAGTGAAAATGGCTAAGGATAACCTTTTAGTTCACCAGTATGAACTTTTCAAAATGAAGGAAGATGAAGACATTGAAACCATGTTCTCTAGGTTTCAAGTTCTTGTATCAGACCTTTAACTTTTGAACAAGAGTTATACTTCAACATATCATGTCAAGAAGACTCTAAAGAGTCTTTCTGTAAGATTCATACCTAAATTAACGACTATTCAGGAAGCTAAAGATCTGAATACTTTAAGTCTTAAAAGTTTGATAATCAATCTTTAAATATATGAAATGGAACTGAATTTAGATGAGCTTGTAAAGATGTTTAAATCACTGGCTTTGAAATCACTGCTGAAAAGTCTGGCAATAAAACTCATAGACCTTCAAAAATCAATTATTCAGAAAAAGCTTCTGATGAAGGAATTTATGATGATAACTATGATGATGAATGTTGTACCCAAAAATTTTCCCTCTCATTTATCAAATATTTTCTCACAAAGATCTCCTTTGGTTCAAGAATGTACTAGGGTTGATCAGCTCAAGACACCTCCTTAAGCACTGATGACCAAAATTAGGGTTTGAGATTGCACAAGGATAATTGGACTTTCAATGCTTCATATGAATTTAATGTATCATTATGGACCCCTAATATTACTCATGTCAAGTTTCAAGTCTTGGATCACACTTTTGCTTAGTCAATTGAGCAGTTGACCTAAAAATCAATTGTATTGGAGAAAAAGTTAACTATGGCTAATTTACAGTCAAAGTTCATAATTTTTGATCCACATCAAAATTATAAACTCATATGTATCATTTGATCAAGTTTGGATCATAATTTCTCAAGAAATTTGATCAAATCATCAAAAGGGCAAAATGGTCAAAATTAGGGTTTTGACTGAGAAAGGGCAATTTGTGATTTTTGACCTAGCAAATGGTCATTTGGTTTGAAGCATGATTTCAAGAGTTCAATTGCATCTTTTTGACCTAATGGCATGACCTAAAACATTGCTCAAGATCAATTGGATTGATGGTGAATTCTCAGTCAACTGATCAAAAGTCAACTGATCAAAAGTCAACTGTACATTGAAAAGTCAAACTTTGACTTTTTGGTCAAAATCCAATGTCAAAGATCACAATTCATCAAAATATGTAAAAATATGAAACTTATTCATCAATAAATCAAAAAGTCAA